AGATCCATGAGAAAAAAGATCAAAACAAAACGAAGAAAGCCTATGGTTCATGTGGGATACCATCAAAAGGAATAACCTATGTGTAATCAGAATTCCAGAACAGGAAGAAGCAAATAAAACCATGGAAAACATTGTCCAAGATATGTTGGAAGAGAATTTCCCTGGTATGATGAAAGATAAGACTATATCCATTCAGGAAGTCCAACGAATGACATATCATCATCAAACTCACCAAAACCAAAAACAAAGAATCCTGAAAACAGCATGGGAAAAACAAAAAGTTACCTACAAGGGACAACTAATAAGACTAAGCTCAGATTTCTCAGCAGAAACCACACAGGAGAGAAGACAATGAGATGGTACATATAAAAACCCTGAAAGAAAAAAATTTCCAACCAAGAGTTATATACCCAGCAAAATTGTCCCTCAAATATGATGATGAAATTAGGGGATTTCCAGACAAGCAGAAATTAAGGGAATGTGTTAAAACCAGACCAGTCTTACAGAAGATCTTAAAGGGAGTCCTTTGGACAGAGAGCCAACAACAGCAAACAACAACCAACCATTAATACATACAATGATATAACCCACAAACCAACCCAGTTATGAAAGTATTAAAAGTAAATAAGCCTACAGGATTATAAACAGGGAATCAGAGACATCAATTGACAAATGAAGACAACTACAAACCAAAAAGAGGAAAAAAACTGTGTACTTACAGAACTTCTAAATGGTAAGGAAGTCAAGACAACTGTAAGATAGAATGAACTGTTCTAAACTTGGGGAGAAAGATATAAATCACAGGGTAATCTTAAAGAAAAATGATAAACCTTCACATCAAAATTTTAAAAAGGACAAGCACAAATATTTAGCAAATACTAGGAGCTCTGGTAGCATAGTGCCTAAGGCACTTGACTGCTAACCAGAAGGCTGGTGGTTCAACCCCACCAGTCACTCCTTGGAAGGAAGGTTGGGCAATCTACTTCCGTAGTGATACCGCCTTGGAAACCCAAGGAGGAGTCCCTATGAGTAGGGTCCGACTCGATGGCACATAACATAACAAAACAATAGTAAGTGGTAACACTAGTCATAAAGAAAATGAGTTTGGCAAAGAAAATTATACAGAACAAAGAAATCAGCAACACTACAAGAAAGCACATAACAAAATGACATCAACAAATTCATACTTGTTGATGATGATACTGAATGTCAATGGATTAAATGCACCACTCAAGAGACAGAGAGTTGCAAACTGGCTAAGAAAACATAACCCTTAAAAGGAGAATGAAAACACAACATACCAAAATTTTGGGAACACTGCAAAAGCGGTGATCAGAGGCCAATTTATAGCAATAAATACACCCATTAAAAAAGAAGAAAGCCAAAATCAACACCTTCACCCAACATTTCCAACTATTAAAAAAGGAGTAAAAAAAAAAAAAAAAAAAAAGCTACAGTCACCAGAAGAAAATAAATAATAGATTTGACCAGAAATAAGTGAAATAGAAAATAGACAATAGAAAAAATCAACAAGACTAGAAGTTGGTTCTTTGAAAAGATTAATAAAACTGACAAACTACTGGCAAATTTAACAAAGGAAAAGAGGGAGAGAATACAAATAACATGAGTAAGAAATGAATTGGGCAACACCACAACTGAACCAACAGAAATTAAGAGGATAATAGCAGGATACCATATAACTATACTCCAACAAATTTGAAAATCTAGAAAAAATGGACAGATTTCTACAAACACACTAACTTACCTAAACTAACAGAGGCTGAGGTGGGAAATTTAAACAGACCCTTAACAAAAGAAGAAACTGAACAGGTCATAAAAACATTACACAAAAAAAGCCCTGGCCCGACGTTTTCACTGGCAAATTCTACTGAACATTCAGAAAAGAACTGATACCAATCCTATTCAGACTATTTCAGAACATAGAAAAGAATGGAATCCTCCCAAATTAATTTTATAAAGCAAGCATAATCTTGATGCCAAAACCAGGCAAAGACATCACTAAAAAGGAAAACTACAGACCAATATCCCTGAGTAATAGCAATGCAAAAATCTTCAACAAGATCTTAGTCAATAGACTCCAACAGCATATTCAAAAAATAATACATTATGACCAAGTGGGGTTCATATCACCTATGCAAGGATGGTTCAACATTAGAAAAGCAATCAACATCATCCATCACATAAATAAAACAAAGGAAAAGAACCACATGGTCATATCAATCTATGCAGAAAAGGCATTTGATAAAATCCAACACCCATTCCTGATAAAAAATCTCAGCAAAATAGGAAAAGAAGGGACATTCCTCAACATAATAAAGGTATATATGCAAAACCAACAGCCAACATTATTCTCAATGGAGAGAGACTGAAACCATTCCCCTTGCGAACAGGAACCAGACAAGGATGCCTTCTATTCAACATTGTATTAGAAATCCTAGCCCGGGCAATGAGGCAAGAAAGAGAAATCAAAGGCATCCAAATTGGTAAGGAAGAAGTCAAACTATCACTGTTTGCTGATGATATGCTCCTATACATAGAAAACCCAAGAGACTAAGCAAAAAACTACTGGAACTAATTGAGAGATTTAGCATAGTGGCAGGATATAATAAGATCAGCATACAAAAATCAGTTGGATTCCTTTACACCAGCAAAGAGATTGCTGAAAAAGAAATAAGGAAATCAATACCATTCACAATAGCTACCAAATAAAATAAAATAAAATACTTGGGAATAAATCTCACTAGGGACATAAAAGACCTGCACAAAAGAAAACTACAAATCACTACTCCAAGAAGCCATAAGAGATCTACATTAATGGAAGAACATACCATGGCTCATGGATAGAAAAATTGAACATTGTGAAAATGTCAGTTCTACTCAAAGCAATCTATACATTCAACGCAATCCCAATCCTGATCCCACCAGCATTCTTTAAGGATATGGAAAAACCAATCACTAATTTTGTATGAAAAGGAAAGAGACCTTGGATAAGCAAAGCACTATTGAAGAACAACAAAGTAGGAGGTCTCACACTCCCCGATTTCAAAACCTATTATACAGCCACAGTGTCAAAACAACCTGGTATTGGTACAATGACAGACACATAGACCAATGGAACAGAAATGAGAACCCAGAAATAGATGCATCGACCCATGGTCAGCTGATGTTTGACAAAGGGCTAAAATCCATTAGATGAGGAAAAAATGGTCTCTTTAACAAATGGTGCTGGCAAAACTGGATATCCATTTGCAGAAAAGTGAAACAAGATCTGTACGTCACACCACACACAAAAACTAACTCCAGATGGATCAAAGATTTAAATGTGAAACCTAAAACTACAAAGTTCCTCAAGGAAAAAATAGGGGCAAACCAGCCACTCCTTGGAAGGAAGGTTGGGCAATCTACTTCTGTAGTGATACTGCCTTGGAAACCCCAAGGAGGGGTCACAATGAGTTGGGTCTGACTCGATGGCACATAACAAATTTATGGCCTAAGTAGACTGTCAAGCATAACCCAAAATGTACAAACAGCTGAAGGTAAACTAGATGAATGGGATCTTCTAAAAATTAAATTTTATCTGCTTCAAAAGACTTCTCCAAAAGTGTCAAAAGAGAACCTACAAATTGGGAGAAAATATTCGGCAATGATATATCTGGCAAGGGACTTATCTCTCAAATTTATAGAAAACTCCAACACCTCAACAACAAAAAGATTAACAATTCAATTTAAAAATGGGCAGAAGACGTGAATAGACACTTCACCAAAAAGGATATTCAGGCAGCCAGCAAATACATGAAGAAATGCTCAGGATCATCACCCATCGTTGTTGTTGTTATGTGCCGTGGAGTCAGACCCGACTCATAGCAACCCCTCCATGGGTTTCCAAGATCAAACCAACACTGAGATACCATCTCACCACAGCATCAATGTTAAAGTTCAACAAGACAGAAAATAACAAATACTGGCAAGGATGTGGAGAGATTGGGACTCTCCTATTCTGCTGGTGGGACTGTAAAATGATTCAACCATTGTGGAAAGCAGCCTGGTGATTCCTTAAAAAGCTGGAGTTAGAAATACCATTTGACCCAGCAATCCCATTACTAGGTATATATCCTAAAGAAGTGACAGCCAGGACAAGAAGAGATATATATATATATATGCACACCCATGTTCATCGCAGCACTATTTACGATAGCAAAAAGATGGAAATGACCTAGGTGCCCATCAACAGAAGAATGGATAACTAAACTATGGTACATACACACAATGGAATACGATGCAACACTAAAGGATAATGTAGAATCTGTAAAACACCACATAACATGGATGAATTTGGAGGACATTATGCTGAGTGAAATAGGTCAATCACAGAAGGACAAACATAGTATTAGTTCACTATTGTGAAAAGTCAAGGAAACATTTATATATGGAAGGAAATTTTCTTTGTTGGTTACCAGGGGTGGGAGGGGAGAGGAGGGAACACTGCGGGGGGGGGGGGGAAGCATAAACCCATATCACTTTCATTTTATGTATTTCACTGTATATAAATTATATTTCAATAAAATATATTTTTAAAAAATTATAGCCTTGGGAACCCAGTAGGAATTGCTATGAGTCAGAATCAACTCAATGGCAGTGGGTTTGATTTGGGTTTTTCATTTATATCACAGCAGAAAACTAAATTACAACCTCAGAGAATCATAAACTTACAATCTCCAGAAACATACATACTGCATATTATTTGAGAACTGGTAAAATGGATTTTTAACTTTCTACTCAATACTTTGCAATGTGTGTAATTTTCAATATTCTAAAACTTTAGTTAGATTACAATGAACCTATTAACTACATCCACTTAACTTAAGAGACATTCAAGGCCAAAGCCAATTTCTAACATCTCCTCAGTCAATCTCTCTCCACAAAGAAACCCACATCTATTATTTAAATCTATCTATCTGTATGTATATAAAATCATTTACCTGTAAAAAGTGCAGCCGGGCTAGAAAATCTGTGATGTAGCTCCCCAGGGGTTTAAGACTTGGATATGATCGTTGGGCCCATGTTTCTGGAACCTTTCCAATAAGTAAGCTGCCTGAGAGGGCCTCCAACATAGAATCCATTACAACCACGCCTTTAATAGCTTTTTCAAGGTCCCGTAAAGTGTTACGTATAGTTTTAATTAAACTGGAATGAAAGAAATGTCATCAACACATATGATAGTAAATACTAATATGTAGTCTTTCCAGTAGAAGAGGAAGTAGCTGGAATCTCATTCACAGCTTTAGTGGAGTATTTCCCAAATGGGGTCGCCTCCTACTTGGTGAAATGGATGAACACTTTTCATTTGAATCATTACCTACATAGTTTTAAATACAGAAAGTAATACAACTAGCACTTCAAATTTGCATTCTGGGTATTATGCTTAAGATCTGGTAAACAGAGAATCAATTAAGGAAAAATATTAAGTATATAATATTATAAGTGCTATGTGGAAACAGAGAAAAAAGTATTAAGGTGTGGTGCAATGGCTGAATCATGGGAAATACCGCATTAAAACACAAACTATATATTCACTTAAACACTTGCAAATACTTTTGTTTCCAACTTAGGCCCACACTGATAAGAATACTATAAATATCCCTGTAGTGAAGGTTTTAGGCTAGAAGCCCAAACAACTGATAGACAGTATGTTATTATATATAAACAAGTTTATTTTTTCATATAAGGAACACTGAATTACTTAGGATATTATAATATTGGAGCTCTGGTGGAGTAGTGGTTAAGGCATTTGGCTGCTAACCAAAAGCTCTGTGGTTCAAACCACTAGCCTCTCTGTGGAAGAAAAATGGGGCAGTCTGCTTCCTTAAAGATTTATAGCCTTGCAAATCCAATTAGGGTCACTATGAGTCGGAATCGTCTCAGTGGCAGTGAGTTTGGTTTTAGTTTTTGGAAAGTTCTAATGTGCTTTATTTTAAAATATCAACAAGTCTGGAAACCAAAATAAATTTGGAAACACTTTAGAAAATTCATAACCCAAACAATTCACCATTTCTTAAGCCAATGTTGAATAGCAGAAAATTCAATAATATCCAAAGTAAATAATTTTCTATCATGGGGTACTAATCAGTCTAGGCTGGACTCAGGAATAAAGGGAGGTGTATGTGTATCAGTTGGAGGAAAAACTCACAAAAGATTCATTTGACTCTACATAGGGTTGCTTAATGATCATTTTGTCTTTAGTTCCTAAAGAAAATAGTAGCATATGGTTTTAAATATTGCTGAATATTTTAACCAGTTAAAAAAAGATTTCTTTTTCATCTTCATTTTTAGTTTATAAAAATACCTCCTCTTCTGGGGCATTTCATTAATGAAATGGTAACTTTTGATAATCTTTTCTTTAAACATTTAATTTAATGCTACTATGTCTTTTTATTGACTTGGGTTGGTGGCCTTCTGAATCACTGATGGTATAGTGCCTTACTTGTTAAATCGCTCCATTTCTTGTACTAATACAGTATTCATGCTCTCTTCATATTTCACAGGATACTTTGACAGTGCTGCTTCAATGTCAAAATCATTTGGGAGCTAAAAAATAGATTTTGAAGATCACAGATTACTCTCAGAATGGGTCATTATTTTTGTTCAGCTATAATATCAATGATAGCTAATATAAGGAAGTTATTGTGTGCCAAGCAGGAGTCCCTGGGTGGCACAATGTGTTATGCACTCAACTACTAACTGAAAGGTTGGCATTTCAAACCCACTCTGAGGCACGTGGGAAGATAGGCCTGGTAATCTGCTTCTTAAAGGTCACGCCTTGAAAACCCTACGGAGCAGTTCTACTCTGCACCCAGGGGAGCACCATGAGTCGGAACTGATTCTATAGCAACTAACAACAATATGTACTGGCACTGTGTTAACTGTTTTTCACACATTATCCTACTTAACACGCTAATACTCTTTGATGGCCATTATTACCGCCATTTTGTAAAAGAGGATATTGAAGCACAGAGAGGTTGAATAGCAGGCCCAAGTGCACACAACCAAAAAAGGTCCATTTGAATCCACAAGTCTCTGGCTCAAGGGCCCATGCTCTTTTAAAAAAAAAATTTTTTTTTTTAATTTACACATTTCCCCCAAAGAACATCCTGATTATATTAAGCAATTAAATAATAGATCAAAAGGATGCAGCAATGCTCCAAAGATAAAAGCTTAAAATATTTCAGAACCTTAATGATTCTTAACAATTCTTCTGAAGGATTTTCCAGCTTAAGTATTTCAGTGCAGAACAACATTATGGGGGGAAATCCCTTGTCAGAGAGAGAGACAGAGACAGAGAGAGACAGAGTCAGAGAGAGAGAAAGACTGATTTCCTTAATCAAATACAGTAGTACATTGTTATCTCAAAGGTTACCCAGTAGGTTCCTGCTCCCTGCTCACAATCTACACTCCCTGCCCTCAAATAACCAAAAACAGTCCCAGCCTCACTTATTGCTCACATAAATCTGGCAATAGTTTCCTTCTCTGTGTCCTTTTTTTTTTTTTAATTATTTTTAATGCATTTTATTGAAATATAATTTATGTACAGTTAAATACACAAAACTAAAGTGACATGGGTAAATGCACTTTTTTCTTTTTCTTTTTTTGTAGTGTTCCCTCCCCTCCCCTCCCCTCCCACCCCTGGCAACTAACAAAGAAAGTTTCCCTCCATATATAAACCTTTCCTTGACCCTCCACAACAACGAACTAATACTATATTTGTCCTTCTATGAATGACTTATTTCACTCAGCATAATGTCCTCCAAGTTCATCCATATTATGTAGTGTTTTGCAGACTCTATTCTTCAGTGCTGCATACCATTCCATTATGTGTATGTACCATAGTTTGGTCATCCACTCTTCTGCTCATGGGCACATAGGTTGTTGCCATCTTTTTGCTATTGTAAATAGTGCTATGATGAACATGAGTGTGCATATATCTGTTCCTGTCCTGGCTCTCACTTCTCTAGGATATATATTATACCTAGTAATGGGATTGCTGGGTCAAATGGTATCTCCAATTCCAGCTTTCTAAGGAATCACCATATTGCTTTCCACAGTGGTTGTATCCCTTCACAGTTGCACCAGCAGTGTATGAGAGTCCAGGGCCCATGCTCCTAACTACTACAGGATAACAACATTTTGTAGAAATTATATATTTCTGAAATGTTGTATAGTTTTTTTAAAAATTGGATGTTCCAATTATAAAACTGATTTAATGTTTCATAAATGCCTTAAATTTCTTCCCAATCAATTATAAATCAGCTTCACATAGCTTACCCCCTACTATTAAATAATTAATTCTGTATCAGTATAGCAGGGTCCCAGGGCAAAGGAAGGGAAGGCCACCAAATGTCTGATTTCTATGAGGCACCTCAGAGAGTCTTGAGGAGAAGTGGTGAAGGGGACTTTGGGACTAATGATCAAGCCACAAGACACTAGGATTCATACTAGTAAAGGGGAAAAGACCTTCCCAACCAGTTAAGCTGTCCCAGGTGATGGTTCCTGGGTATACAAAAGAATTCATCTAAGTCCTACTACCCAGTTGTCGTGGAGTTGATTGCAACTCATGGCGGCCCCATGTGTGTCAGAGAAGAACTGTGCTCCATAGAGTTTTCAGGGGCTGATTGGTAGCATAGTGGTTAAGGCACTTGACTGCTAACCAGAAGGCTGGCAGTTCAAACCCACCAGCCACTCCTCGGAAGGAAGATGGGGCAAT